TTAAATGCCATATAGTACATCTCATCTGCAGATGCTAAGAATATGCCCTAGGACCATGACCTTGACCTAAAGTGTTTGGCCATAATGAAACAAACCTAGGCACTTTCTGCTTTGTCCACAGAATCAGCCTATCACTCAAAGACCTCGACTTGTCTCTGTGTGATTTTTTTTTTTGTAGGAAAGCAACAGCTATGTCATTTACCTACATCAGAGCATTTTAACAAAGATCACTGGGGTGTCATCCATAGAGTTTTCAATGAGAACTCTGTAAGCAGCTTGTGTCCTTAGCCTTATCAAGATTGATAGTAATTCCATTACAAAATTATAGCTATTAGATATGCCCTGCCACCATTATATCATTATTATAAATTATAATTATAATGATTTGAGAAATAGAGGGAATGTATGTAATATTACTTTATCTCATGACCACAATCCTTTTATCTTTTGGCAAACTAGAAAAAGGCTTTTTTCTCTTAATGGTAGAACAGTTTAACAGGAAGCCAGGGTGACCATCTAGCCCCTTCCACTCCCAGTCCTGTTGTTCTGAGACACCCTTTTGGCTCTTTCAATGTCATGATTTGATTGTAATGTAATCATATTTGTTGGAGTTGTGCTCACAAAGCATGTGTTTTGAAAACTCTTTGTATTCCAAAGGTTTCATTCAGGAGAGATCTCCAGACCTTTGACATCTTTATGGTCTGTCTGTTTTTGTTGTGTGAAACAGTTACCCTTTCCCAGGCAGGTGATATATCTCTAGTTTAACCCAAGAGTCACTTGGGTCTGTATGTGGCTTCGATGAGGTTGTATTGTCTGTCACTTTGCCCCTTTAAGTTAATTGTGGCTCTCCTTTTACTCATTCTATCCTGACAATTGTCGAAAAGCATCGTTTTTAAGTATTCAGAAGGAATCAGTATTAAAGAATATTAAGTAATTATCTTTCTGTTTTCTTGGGAAAACGTGTAAAAGAAAATTAAAGGAAAAATATAAATGTAACAAGAAACACTTCCTCATAGAATGTTATGTCCCAATTAAAACCACTTAACAACAACCCTTTGCAATACCTTCTAGATTTCTTCTTTAAAGTATTAGCTAATTGGGCCGGGGATTTAGCTCAGTGGTTTTGCCACCTGTTGCACAAGTGCAAGGACCCGCATTCAAAAAAAAAAAAAAATTAGCTAATTAATGGTTTACACTAGTCCTCATTTGACATTATATATATGAAAAGCCACAGCCAGTGATTCTTAAATTCTACTCTTACATAGTAGTATTCTATAAGTGACCTGTGTACCAGTGCTAATAGATTTGCCAATTCACAGGGAACTTAAATTAATGAATGAAATGTTTAAGGTTTTTAAACATTTCTAAATCTTTGGCTTTGTTACACCTATCAGAATCTAATAAAAAATATCATTTTCTACAATCTGGACTTTTCTATTTAGTTATTTTAATTACTTCCAGTGTTTTAATAACTTTCAGAGTCTGTGCCACCAAAAAGCTTTGGGAATCATTTCTCATTGCTGCAGAAAATATATTTCACAGGTTTATAAAAATCTGTAAAGTTTTTTTTACATTTCATCCTATTGGAAGTTTTCAGTTTCCTCAAATGAAGGTAGATTTTATAAACGATGAAAGGTAAATCTTGGTAATGTTATATCACTATCCAACATTTCAACTCTTTATTTTCTATCTTTTCCCTCTTTTTTCTATATTTTCTTCTGTTTTATAATCTCTATAATTAATGGAATTTCTGCTATATCCCAAACGTATGCTCATTGATCTCTCATCTGTGCAAATGAAAACACAGACTCAAATATTAAGTACACATGGCCCTCAGCAATGGTTCAACTTTTGATTTTCAACTTTATGATGGTATAAAAAAGGTACATATTCAGTAGCAACTGCATTTGAACTTTGAAATTTTCCTGGACCAGCAACATGTGGTTTGATACTGTATTGATGATGGGCAGTGGCAGTGAGCCACAAGTCCCAGTCAGCCTCACAAGCACAAGGGGAAGCCACTGCCACAATCCAGTATACTGTGTGACCAGCATGCTTTAGATATAGGTATTCAGTAAATTTCATGAAATAGTCAACACACACACATGCGCGTGCGCATTTTTGGAGCCGGGATCACATTGTGTTGCCCAGGCTGGCCTCAAACTTTTGTTCCTCCTGATTTAGCTTCTGGATAAGCTGGGATGCTGGAACTGTAGATATGCACTTTTCCTCCCAGGTAGCACTTTATTATAAAATAGGCTCTGTATTAGGTAAACTAACATAAGTGTTCAGAGCATGTTTAACGTAGGGTAGGCTAAGCCTACCTTGGTGATACTCGGTGGTTAGATTTTTTAAAGGCATTTTTTATTGAAGTTGTTTTCAGTTTACAGTGGATTAGCAGGACACAAGCCCATCATAAGTCAAGGAGTGTCAACAATTTGCCCCGGGTTACATTGGTAATAAGCGCCACGACCAAGAGCTTTTAGTCTGCTTTAGTCCCTGTAAATCCTCGCTTTTCCATTGTTACTATACTGCTTGCTTCTCCTCACTTCTGTTCTACCGCATGTTGCACTTTGCTTTTCCCTTTGCATTATTTAACTGTAATAAAATACACATATCATAAAAGTAACCATCTTACCTCTTTTTAAAGGTGTACTTTAGAGGCATTAAATTCAGTCACATTATCCAACCATCACTATCATCTACATCCAGAACTCTTTTTGTCTTGTAAAACTGGAACTCTGCCTCCATTAAGCAGTGATTATTCCCTGTTTCTTTTCCCTCCATTTCCTGGCAGCAACCTTTCCACTTTCTGTCCCTATGAATCTGACTACTCTAGGAATCATACAGTATCTGCCCTTTGTGATTGACTTCACTTAGTATAATGTCCTCCAGGTTCACTCCTGTTGCAGCAGAATTTCCTTCCTTTTTAAGGCTGAGTGCTGTTCCATTGCATATGCACACCACTTTTTGTTTATCCATTCATCTGCAAATGGATGCTTCAGTTGCTTCCATCTTTGGGCTGTTGTGACAGTGCTGTTGTTCCATGGTGAACATGAATGGCCATTCCTTTTGAGTGCATCCTTTCCTTCTGCCTGTACTGTAGGCTTATCTGTGGCACTGTAGACATTGCTTAATCTCCCCTGACAACACTGAGACCTAGCAAATGACCTCATGCCTGGTCAGCCCTGGGTCATTTCCCCCTTTACTGGGGAGGGGGGAGTGGTCAGGTTTTGGTTTTATTTTTTTAGCTTTGCCTTTCTTTTTAAGCCTAGTTATGCATGATAATGAATGCCTACTCTGTCATTCATTCCTGAGTCTGTCTTTCTGGCCTTTGTTACCACTGGATGAAGCTCTATGGGAACTCTTTATACCTTCAGAGGAGTTGTGTCAAACAGGCAACCAACACATGCACTGAATGTAAGACAATAGGCTAGAGGTGTGAGACAGTACATAGACAAGGAGAATGGACAGATAGATTGCAAAAGTAGAGGTTTGGTTCCCCAGTTTAGTGAGCTTCTAACTTGCACATATTCATTACTTGATCAATTACTTCAAATGACTTGGAAATTTTCTTAGATTGCTTCAATATATTTCTGCTGAAAGAATTTGCTTTCCCTCCCATCCACCCACCCTGGAACATTTGGAAATTGACTGGAAACAGTTCTGGTTGTTGTAACTGGTATGGGTCCCGTGGGTGGAGGACAGGGATGCTGCTAAACATCTCAGTGCACAAGACAGCAGACAATGAGCCTGGTGCAGATGTCAGTAGGGCAAAGGTCACAAGACCCTGCAGTGTCACTCAGTTAATATTAGTTAATCGTCTAGTAAGGAACACAGAAATACATCAGTCATTTCCCTAAGGAAAATGTCTTAATATGGTAGCAAGCTAGCATTTTCTATACTATAACTATTTTCTAGCACAAGATTTAACATTAAATGTTAAAGTAGAATTTTTAATATCTAAGGGAACTTTCCTAGCAAAAATTATACTTTAAAAACATAACAGCATTTAATGTATCTTATGTAATACTTAATATATACTAATTTTTATAAAGAAAAAGACATTGACTTGACTTACAAATAGTCTTTGAATTAGAAAAGCATTGTGTAATTACCTCCCACCTATTTCTCTTTAAATTGTTGTTTAAACTAACATTATATTTAGATCTTGATCCCTATGCTTGTCTCTTAGGAGATAGTGCTGGAGGTTCCATAGGGTGTTTTACAACATTAATTTTAAATATTCCATGGATAACCCCCTTGCCTAGCAGGTGATACTAAAAATATAAACAAAATTCATTCCCAATATGCCCATTTTTCTAAACAGGAATACTAGCTAGGAAACACCTGCTTTGGTTATCTGTTTTCTGGCTACTGGATTGAAGACTCATATCTTCCATTAAATAAAACTTGAACAAATGGAATTAGCTGCAAAGAGAATCATTTAGAGGTGTGCAGACCCTACATCGGGTGTTGAAAAAGGAATAGAGATGCTTGGGACTCAGTGGCCATCCACAGGTCTTAACCAGTGTCCGCAAGGCCAGGGAGAACAGAAGTGGAATCATTGGCCAGAAGTTGTCCTGTACCAGAGCCAAAAGGACATGCGCTTTAATGCTTGCCTCACTGGAAACCATCTCTTAGGATTGGACCCAGAATAATTGTAAGGCATGAAATCAGATCAGAATGTTGTCCTTGCCAGTCCCCTGCCCTTTACACGTCTGTGCTGAGCAATGAAAATTGATGTTCATAATAAGAATTCTTTTTTTTTTTTTTTGGTACCAGGGATCAAACTCAGATCTTTGCGCTTGCACAGCAGGTGGTGAAACCACTGAGCTATTCCTCCGTAGTTGTCAAAGGAATTATAAATTGTGACTTCGTGTTCTGACTATATCTAAAGGTTGTTGTAAAAAGGACTTCCTGCATGTAAATAGAAATGGATCCTCTAGCCTCTGAACTATGCACAGCTGTACTCAGAAATCCATGCTTTTCTGTTCCAGGACATGGGAAGAAGGCAAGGTGCTCATCTTTGATGACTCCTTTGAGCATGAGGTGTGGCAGGATTCTTCATCTTTCCGGCTGATATTCATCGTGGATGTGTGGCACCCGGAGCTCACACCTCAGCAGAGACGCAGCCTTCCTGCAATTTAACAGGAATTCATGCAGCCTTGGCACATTCTGACGGATGCTGCCTTTCTGGTTTACTTTGGATGTGGATACAGAAGTTCTAATATCATGGCTTTTAATTCACTGACTTGCAGCCTGGAAAACTGAGCTTCCTCCTAGAGTTAGACACTAAATAGAACATTTTCCTCGCTGCAGTTCCTTTAGAAAATACCCTACCATATCTCATCCATGACAGCACTGACTGTGTGCCCATGTTTAAGGTGGACACTTTGTAGCTTCTGCCTTGCCAGCCAAAGGTATTTTTACCATGTAAAGTAGGTCTACATCAATGTACAATGAGAATATATGTAGAAACTGTGAATGGATTGCTTTAGTTTGTAATTTTTCTATGCAGTTATATTTTTCTAGGGTAGTTAAACTATTTTGGCATCATGTACCACTATTTTTTTATTGACCACAGTGACAGGCTTTAATTTCAGCTGTATAAATGCTTTACTTTTAGCTATTCAATGGTAACTGTTCTGGAGAATTTAGATTTCCTCCTTTTAATTCTCTTTAATAAAAGATACTCATGAAAAAGGCAATTTTATTTTCCTCATACAAAAGAGGAAAATGCAATTATGCCAGTGTCTACTGTCTGTACAGATCCTTACCCTTTAATCTGCTTTTTTATCTTCACTGAGATCCAGTGTTACCTTCTCTCATTATGTAAATGGTGGAGATATTGACAAAATCTTATTTCTTTCTAAGAAGGACTTTTTATACAGAAAAAAAAACCCACAGAATCATTTTATATTAATTACGGTATAAAATCCCACATGTAAATTTTTTAATGCCAAGTGTTAGGGCTCTGGGAGAACAATGTAAATTTATTGAAGTAAATTATCTTTCTGCATTAGGTACCTAGGTAGTGCAAGGGTACCTGGCTCCTGACATCTTCGCCATTGGTGACACAGGGCCTAGGAATCCATGGCGTCTTCCTACTGTATACCCATATGAGTGGCAGGAAGATGGCCCTTTGGTCCTTGAGATGGTTCTTATGACAATTTCCTAAATATAAGAAGAGCCGAGTAGACAATCCATGGAATGCTAGGCATCCTTGTCCTGGGTGTGGGAGGTCAAGATTGCTTTCTTCTTTTTTAAAGTTTGAAGACTCTTGGCTTGAGAAATGTCTGCCAGCTGAACATCATTTTGAGAAAGTAATTAATATCCATATTTAGTTTGAATATTACCCACACTGTAACAGTTGAGAGTGGCCTTGTCTTCTCATTCCCAGGATGATCAAGTCAGTAATTTAGAAAAGTATTAATGCATTTGATTTTGTATTTTTAAAATTAAAGCTAACTACAAGTATTCACTACCTGAATGTAGTGGTATTTATGCACTGAATTCTAAGCATGAAAAAAAGCACTGCAGGAATGGCACATAGGTCACCAAATTTCATGGACAGATAGAAAAATCACTTGTGCATTCTTTACAATCTAGTAAAGAGTTTTCACAATATTTGCCATACTCTTAAAATATCCTGTTCCTTCTGTTTTGCCAATGTGTGAAAATTCCACAAAAAGGATTCATGAGACTCATGGGAGGAAAAATAACAAAGTGAATACTAAAATCCAGAAAAGAAATCAAACTCTTGAAAAATAAGAAGATATCTGTGTCCTTCAGTATTTATTAAACAGGAAATGACAACAAAGGGCAATACAATCCAATGTTCATGTAGTATCATTCATGTTACTTATTGAATTTGGCTTTCCTATGTAAATTTCATACAGATAAACAAATGCAAACCATATGTTGTGATTGTTGAACCATCTTCTTACATTCATTTAAGGAAACTGGAAAAAGAGTGAAAACTAGCTCTTAACTTAGTAAATATGATGTGGTATTTAACAATGGTTCACTACAGTAGGATTCTAAATATTGCCAATTGAAAAGCTGGAAGTATTATTGCTGTTGCAAAGGGAGAGCAATAATTGATTCCAACAGCCTTTTAAATACTTGGATCCCACACTTATTTTAAAAACCCAGCCAATAAAATGGATTTTTCTAAATCACTTTAATTCTTCATTTCTCTTACCTATATCTTGTATTTCAGTGACTGCATTGATAAAATAATTTCAGTGTTATTATTTTGTGATTTGAAATATCTTTGCAAAATGAATTTATTTTTTGTTTTTGGTACCAGGGATCAAACTCGGGTCCTTGTGCAGGTGGTGAAACTACTGAGCTAAATCTCCAGCCCTAAAATTAATTGATTTTATTTAGACTTTGCTAAAATTGTTTGAGAAAGATTTTTAATTCTAATTCAATTATGTACTTCAAAGGTAGGATATAAAAATGACTTTTATTGTTATTCTCTACCAGTAAAAAATAATTAAAACATTCAATCCATTGAGGAAGAGTATAATAAATCATTAAGATTATTGAGGGTGATTATGGCCAGTTGGATCAGTCACCTCTTTACTTTGAACTGTTCAGCTAACAAATCAACTTCATTGTAAAATCACAGTTTACTACCCATTATCAACTAAAGTAGTTTTGCTTTGACACTAAGCACCAATTGGTCATACTAATTAATACCATGCCATGCAGATGGCTGGGCAGCTAAGATATATCTAAAATATACAACAGATTTTGGGAAACATGACACAAATAATTGCCTGTGACATCTGTTTATCTTGTATTGAATTTCCTTTGAATGGGTAGATGGAGACTCCATTTCTAAGAATAATAGATAAAGAAATAAAATGATCTTTGGCATTTTTTCCTGCATTCCTAGCCTTCTTTTACTCTATATGTCATATTTAGCCATTCTCCAGGGTCTTCTTCCAGGATTTAATAGCTCTACACTCATCAATGGCCAGGGCCTTTCTCTATACCCTTAATGATTGCAGAAGGGTAGAGGGTTAAATGGTTTGGTAGCACTTCTCTTGGCTGTAGTGACCCAAGTGAGCCAACTTGAATGACATATGACATATATGACATATAATGACATATATATGACATATAATGACATATAATCACTGACATATGTTTTTGATGAGACACTTCTTCTTTGGGTTCTCAGAATGCCTGTGGGAAATCACATTGCTAAGATAAAGTCATATCTCCAATTGTATGTGTCTTTGAAAGTCAGCTCATGGATTTCAGCTGGTGGCCTGACAAAAAATGTAAAATCAAAATCTTTTTTTTGCAGGATATCAAAATAAGAAAACTTTGCAAATAACCAGACCTATGAGAACATGCTCTTAGGCTGAACAATTCTATGCTGATGATGAGGTCAAAGAACAGAATTCAATAAGAATGGAAATTATATATTATGTTTCAGAGCTCTGCACAACATTGAACTTGATAATCATGTCTGCACAGTTTAACTGTGATGTATTTACTTGGAAATACATTTATTCTTAATTTGTAAAAACTAGAGAGGGTCCCTGTGTGATTGATTTCTCAGAAAAATCCTCACCCTAATACAGTGTGTGCATCAAATTCAGATTTTCACTTTTTTAATTCATTTGATCCTATAAATATGTAGGGAGTGAGAACCTTTTATACATGAATGCCTTGCTTCATCCCCCAATCCCCTCTCTAAAACACAAAGCATCTCTCAAATCTCTGTCCAACTTTGGCTGCTCAGACCAATGGCTCTTGACAGTCATTGCTGGGGGCAGGAGTGGAGGACCTTGTGTTAAGCAGAACACACGTGTCTGTGTGGATCAGTTGAAAATGTGCTTTCTGCGTGGTTGATACCACTGAAGGCCAGGGTACAGGAGCATCGGGGTGGCTTGGGCTCAGTCCAGAGCCAGGAATGGCTGAGTGTTCTCATTTTCTCCTTTCTCCTCATGTTTCAGGGTCCCAGCTTCTACCACAGACTGAGATCTTTTCATCAGCTTGGGCGAGCATTCTCTCTCCAGATTGGAGGATGTATGTTTCATGTGCATTGCATTATAGGAAGTATGAGTGTAGTCATTTTCATCACTGTAGTCAGGACCAAGTAACGTCCGGGGCCATGTTCCCATGTCATAAGGAGGAAGGGTTCCTCCAAATTCAGAGGGCAAAAATTCAGGATGTATTAGTTGGTGAAGGCTATTTAAATTATTTCCATGCAGGAAAATCTGTTTCCTGGTCTTGTCTTTAAGGAATGGCTTGATGAGTGTATACAGAGCATGAATGTACCAGGGCTGGTTGACAAAATGGACTCTTCCAAAGCGGGCAGGAAAGCTGTCTGTTTCTTGCTGGTCAATGATTTAGTCTCCTAGTAGAGAAAGAATGAGAACATATTCAACTTCCTAGCTGTTATAATGTTCTCCTTTCCTCTTGCCTCTCTCCACTTTGACTCCACAACTTGAAAACTGTGCATAGTGTCAGAACAGTCTTTTAGCTATATGGAGAGGGGAGTCTGAGTTCTTCATAGCCTTTAGTCAACCCTGGCCTCAGTTCCCACAGGCTCTAAGCTCTGATCTCTCTCTTTCCTCTCAAGTTCCCTTCTTCCAGAAATTCTTGAATAGTTAAATAATTCATTTCTGCATGACAGTGAGGAGAGGATACTTTAAAATTATCAAAATCAATACTTTCAAAACTCTAGAAATAAACCCAAAGCTTACAACAACCCAGTGAACATTAATTCAAGAAAAGAAACAGAACCTCCATAAGAACACTGGTGTGTTTTTTTTGTTCTTTTATTGGTGCATTTTAGGTATACAATATGTTTACATTTATCATCAGGTGCTTGTACCCGTATATGATGTATCTTACTTCTGATTTTTTTCCCCATTGCCTGTGCACCCTTCATCC